AAAAATGTCCCTGCTCACGGTGGAGGAACGGTTTGGTTTGGGTCTGGGCTGTACGCTTTGTTGATCCCTCAGCCCAGAGCTGCTTGCTGTCCGATGAACAAATTAAGTTTATTTGATCAGTCCGAGATTATAGAATCTCCTATTTTCCAGACTCTACTGCCCATTGAAATGAATTTTTTTTTTTTTTTTTGTCATAGAAAATCGCTGATTTACCACCCGCGCCGCTTCTTCCCCGGGGAACTGCTGGGACAAACCGTTTTAAGCTCTCAATGGGAATAGAGGATTTTTTTTTTTTTTTTTTGTCATAGAAAATCGCTGACTTACCACCCGCGCCGCTTCTTCCCCGGGGAACTGCTGGGACAAACCGTTTTAAGCTCTCAATGGGAATAGAGGATTCCTCTCTCTATGTCACGTGCAGCCTGCCCCTTTCCATAAATCAGCATGCTGGGGCACAGCCCTTTCGTCTGCAGATTCCTAAAGGGGCAGAGAACAGCCCACGCCCTTTGTAAACTTTTTACTTTGAAGATAGCTGTAGAGTCACATGCAGTTATAAGAAATAACACCGTTTACAGTTTTCCCCAGTGCTAACATCTATATAACTAACATATATAACGTATGTAACTATATAGCCAACATCTATGTAACCATATAACTAACATATGTAACTAGATAGCCAACATCTATATAACCATGTAACTAACATGTGTAACACATATAACTAGATAGCCAACATCTATATAACCAGATAACTAACATATGTAACTAGATAGCCAACATCTATATAACCATGTAACTAACATGTGTAACACATATAACTAGATAGCCAACATCTATATAGCCAAATAACTAACATATAACTAGATAGCCAACATCTATATAACTATTTAACTAACATATATAACTAGATAGCCGACATCTATAAAACCAGATAACTAGCATATATAACTAGATACCCAACATCTATATAACCGCATAACTAACATATATAACTAGATACCCAACATCTATATAACTATATAACTACCATATATAACTAGATACCCAACATCTATATAACCGTATAACTAACATATATAACTAGATAGTCAACATCTATATAACTATATAACTAACATGTGTAACATATATATAGCCAACAACTATGTAACCATATAACTAACATATATAACACATATAACTATATAGCCGACATCTATATAATCATATAACTAATATATGTAACATATATAACTGCATAGCCTATATCTATATAACCATATGACTAACATATATAACATATGTAACTAGATAGCCAACATCTATATAACCACATAACTAACATATATAACTATATAGCCGACATCTATATAACTATTTAACTAACATATATAACTAGATAGCCAACATCTATATAACCATATAGCTAACATATATAACTAGATAGCCAACATCTATATAACCATATAACTAACATATATAACCATATAGCCGACATCTATATAACTATTTAACTATCATATACAACTAGATAGCCAACATCTATATAACCATATAGCTAACATATATAACTAGATACCCAACATCTATATAACCATATAGCTAACATATATAACTAGATAGCCAACATCTATATAACTATATAACTAACATATATAACTATATAGCTAACATCTATATGGCTACATAACTAACATATGTAACATATATAACTGTATAGCCCACACCTATATAACCACATAACTAACATATATAACATACATAACTATATAGCCCACACCTATATAACCACATAACTAAGATAAATAACATATATAACTATATAGCCCACATCTATAAAACCATATAACTAACATATATAACTAGATAGCCAACACCTATATAAGCACATAACTAACATATATAGCATGTAACTGTATAGCCCACACCTATATAACCACATAGCTAACATATATAACATATGTAACTGTATAGCCCACACCTATATAACCACTATTTTTCCCCACCATATTATAATACCACTGAACTTAACATGTGAACCGTATAGCCCATCACCTAATAAAACCACATAACATACATGTGCAATGTGTCAACTCGTTTATAGCCCTACACCTCATTGGTGTGTATAAGCTCTACATAACTTAGTACATTTGTGTATACTGTAAGGAGCCCTACGATGGGGATTGAGTGGGTTCTAGGAAAGTGCGGGCGTTTATGCGACCTGGTTTACATAACTAACATATAGTAACCGTTATAAGACGCCCACACATTGAGTATTAGGTGGTTCAGTCATAGACTTCCATATTATGGGGTTTAAGCGCGTGGAGAGGCGCCGACACTCCAGTTTGAGAGACCAATGAGAGCTATGATCGATGTGGAAGTCCGTGGATTAGCCACACTCATATGAACGCACATAGACTATGAATCATGTGTAAGTGTGATGAGGGGGTGATTTGAGTTGGTACCCAACTAGCCTAAGGGGTATATTTGTTACACAATAAATTAACATGTGTACCGTATATTGCCTCACACGCCCATAATATTACGGGGATCTGTATAGCGAGACAATGTTGTGTTAACCGTATAGGCGCGCGCACAGCCTGGGATATAGGGGTTGGGGGTTGAGGTTACTCTGTGACAGTATACGTATACCATAGTGTAAGCCATATAGCCACACTTAATATAACCACATAATAACATATGTACGAGGCGCGTATAGGCCTCACACCTATATAACCACATAATTAACATGTGTAACCCGTATAGCCCACACCTATATAACCACTATATACTAACATGTGTAACCGTAGCCCACACCTATAAACACATAACTACATGTGTAACCGTAATGACCCACACCTATATAACCACATAACTAAAAACATGTGTAACCGTATAGCCCACACCTATATAACCACATAACTAACATGTGTAACTGTATAGCCCACACCCATATAACCACGTAACTAACATGTGTAACCGTATAGCCCACACCCCATGATATACCACGTAACTAACATGTGGTAACGACACAGCGTAACATCTACACCAAGCCGCAGCTCGACGCCCCACCCTGTCTCCAAGGAACGGACTTCTACAGAGCAGGAAGGACAGCGAACGGACTTGCCTGTCCCAGCCCCAAACGTCCCAGCCTGCCAGGGCTTAGACTGAGACGTTTCGGAAGAAAATGACTGGTAAGGCACCCTCGTCCAGGCCTTTACCTACAAGGGAAGTTGCACCGCGGCCGTCCAAGGTCGTGCCCCGATTCTGGGGCCCCAGCCCACCCGACGGTAGTTCCACCTGGCTCAGGGTTTAGTTCCATAGCAAGGTAAATTGGACCATTGAAAAAGGAGCAACGACCAGATTTTGCAGATTAAGGGGTACATTTAGGCATAAAGGACCATTGAAGGAACCGCCAGATTTTGCAGGAAAGGGGTAGTCATTTAGGGATCGGGTGGGTAGGGGATATTTGATGTATAACGGCGTTGGTGTTTTTGTGAAGATCGTACCTCCAAGGCATATTGGTATCATGTCAGCGAACAATATACCGGTTAGTTGGTGTGTGCGAGCGCTCGTAGTGGGGGTCCATTAGATCACTTGTGTTGTCATTCGAGCAGAGTCTTCGCGAGATGCTGTGACTGCTTTTATGTCTTCTTGAGAAATGTCTGGTCAAAACTTTTGCCCCGATATTTAACATAGTTAATCAACTTTTCTGCTCTTGAGTTAGTTTGAGCTTCAAATGAATCTGAGATAATGAACCCCTTTATCAGAAATACGTTGTGCAAAATTTTTTTTTCCAATCCAAACAGTTCGCCTTTTCGCTTTGTCGCTTGTTTTCCTTTGCTATATGCACAAGCTCTAGCAAGTCGACGGTATGTCGCCATTTTATTTATGTTCTGCTTGTGGTGAGTTAGCCTGGAGCGTGGTTGGCGATTATCATAAAAAAAAGAATCTATTTACCTGATACTTAATGATATTGGGGAGCCTTGTGTTTCGCTCTATTGGGGTTTTTTTTTCTTCTAGGAGTTATGGTTTTGCCGGCTCGTTTTTTCATTATGTCGTTTTTAGTTCCAAGATTTGTGTTTGTGATTTTTTATGTTTATTTATTTTTGTATGGTATAAGATCAGATGGTTCAAGTTTCATCATCCTTTGCATGTGAAATCCCGATTTCACAGCCACCACTTATTGAAGAGACCTATGGTTATGCTTTCATGGTGGGTAACATGACATCCATTTTCCCCACCCTTTACCGATAAGGTGGCAATTCTCTGCTGAGCTCCGTGCATTAAAATAAAAACCCCCCAACCATGTTAATTTACTCAGAAATGCGAAAATTTGGGATTAATGGACTCTTGCGTAACATAAGTGATTTAACAACGAGAATAATCATTTCTCGTCCTTTTGACCCCGATCGGGTGAACAATAAATCATGACGTGGATGGGCAGGAAGCCGACTAAGAAGTTGCGATCTATGAGGAATAATTTAAAAAGATGTTTATCGAAACCATACGAATGGAATTTTTTCCCCCTGGTGATCACTGAACTTAACATGTCACAGAGGTACTTTCTCTTCTCTTCCTTCTTCTTCTTCTCTTCCTTTCTTCTTCTTCTTCTTCTCTTCCTTCTTCTTCTTCTTCTTCTTCTTCTTTCTTTCTTCTTTCTCTTCTTTCTTCTTTCAATAAGAGTCTATAACTGTTTCGCCGATATCAGGAGGGTGACTTGCATCAAAACACAGTTAAAGTAATTCCGTGCAAGTAAAATAATATTTTTCTGAGGTACCCTTCTTTGCACTTGCATAAACTAACACCGGGCCCGAGAAGAACAGAATAACGAAGAAAAAAAAAATTCTTGTAAGTTTTTTTTTTTTCTTTTAAATGTCCAAAAGGACCCTTCCGTATATTTTCTAAGAATTTTGGATTTGAAATTGCTATTGTCCTTTGGCTCTGACTGAACCAAGTAGCGGTCACCCTGGATTCTAAGGCATTTGTGATAAATGTGTGGCTTTATGGAAATAGACCTCTGTTAAAGGCTACATTTCTCTGCAGAAAAAAAAAAAACTGTAGCACTCCAGGCCAGTTTTTCTGCCCATATTTTAAACACATAACGTTGGTATAATTAAGTTCATAGTTTATAGGTGGAAAGAGGTAGGGAAGGAGACATTAAACCAAATGAAAACACTGCCGACCAAAAAACTACTCCGAGCTGTTAGAGTAGCAGAACAATAGATTAAAAAGCGGTCGTTTGCAACACTAATGTCCCATACCCCACAACCAAGAAGGTTTGCCTTTCAGATCAACGAAGCCACAAAAAAAATAAATTGCCACCTACATTGCATTCTTACTTTTCAAACATGAGATGCTTTTAAAAACTGAATTGAATTGCGGACCGCATCCTTCCGTGGAACGTTAATAAAAGTTCAGACCCCAATACCTAAATTAGCTTCCACGACCTTCTTAAAGTCGGATGAAAAAAACTGTATAGCCCACACCTATATAACCACATAGCTAACATATATAACATATGTAACTGTATAGCCCACACCTATATAACCACGTAACTAACATGTGTAACCGTATAGCCCACACCTATATAACCACATAACTAACATGTGCAACCGTATAGCCCACACCCATATAACCACATAACTAACATGTGTAACTGTATAGCCCACACCTATATAACCACATAACTAACATATGTAACCGTATAGCCCACACCTATATAACCACATAACTAACATGTGTAACCGTATAGCCCACACCTATATAACCACATAACTAACATGTGTAACCGTATAGCCCACACCTATATAACCACATAACTAACATGTGTAACTGTATAGCCCACACCCATATAACCACGTAACTAACATGTGTAACCGTATAGCCCACACCCATATAACCACGTAACTAACATGTGTAACGACACAGCTAACATCTACACAGCCGCAGCTCGACGCCCCACCTGGTCTCCAAGGAACGGACTTCCTACAGAGCAGGAAGGACAGCGAACGGGACTTGCCCGTCCCAGCCCCCGTCCTAGCCTGCCAGGCCTTAGACTGAGACCGTTTGCTGGGAAGAAAATGACTGGTCAGGCGCCCTCGTCCAGGCCTTACCTACAAGGGAAGGTTGCACCGCGGGCGTCCAAGGTCGTGCCCCGATTTTCTGGGGCCCAGCCCACCCGAGGTATTCCACCTGGCTCAGGGTTTAGGTTTCATAGTCAAGGTAAATTGGACCATTGAAGGAGCCGACCAGATTTTGCAGGATAAGGGGTAGCATTTAGGATAAAGGACCATTGAAGGAACCGACCAGATTTTGCAGGATAAGGGGTAGCATTTAGGATGTGTAATATTTGAATAACGTGCGTTGCCGGTTTTGTGAAGACGACCACCAAGGCAATCACGGCAGCAACAAAAGCCGTAGTGGTTTCCATCTCCCGGATGATGAGTAACACTGAGCACCTTCTCATATGCTTGTGAGCTGCTTTTATGTCTTCTTTGGAGAAATGTCTGGTCAAGACTTTTGCCCGATATTTAACATAGTTATCTACTTTTCTGCTCTTGAGTTATTTGAGCTTTTCAAATGAATCTGAGATAATGAACCCCTTTATCAGAAATACGGTTTGCAAAATTTTTTTTTCCCAATCCACAGTTCGCCTTTTCGCTTTGTCGATTGTTTCCTTTGCTATATGCACAAGCTCTACAAGTTCGACGTAGTCCCATTTATTTATGTTTGCTTTGATAGCCTGAGCTTTTTTGGCGATATCAAAAAAAAAAAAATCATTACCAAGACTAATAAGGAGCTTTTTCCTCTATGTTTTTTTTCTTCTAGGAGTTTTATGGTTTCCGGTCTTTCATTTAGGTCGTTAGTCCATTTTGAGTTGATTTTATTTATTTATTTTTTTTGTATGGTATAAGATCGATGGTTCAGTTTCATTCCTTTGCATGTGGAAATCCGATTTCCCAGCACCACTTATTGAAGAGACTATGGTTTATGCTTTCATGGGTGTGTAAACATGACATCCATTTTCCCACCCTTACCGATAAGGGTGGCAATTCTCTGCTGAGCTCGTGCATTAAAATACCCCAACCATTTATTTACTAGAAATTGCGAAAATTTGGGATTATGGACTCTTGCGTAGACATAAGTGCTTTAACAACGAAATAATCATTTCTCGTCCTTTTGACCCTGATCGGGTGTAACAATAAATCATGACGTGGAGGGCAGGAAAGCCGACTAGAAGTTGTGATCTATGAGGAATAATTATAAAGATGTTTATCGAAACCATACGAATGGATATTTTTTCCCCTGGTGATCACTGAACTTAACATTTTCCACAGAGTGTAACTTTCTTCTTCTTCTTCTTCTTCTTTTTTTTTTAAATCGAAAGAGTCTATAACTGGTTTCGCCGATATAGGAGGGTGCCTTGCTTCAAAACACAGTTAAAGTAATTCCGTGCAGTAAAATAATATTTTTCTGAGGTACCCTTCTTGCACTTGGCAATAAAACTCAACACTCGGGGCCAAGAAGAACAGAATAACGAAGAAAAAAAAAATTCTTGTAAGTTTTTTTTTTTCTTTTAAATGTCCAAAAGGACCTTCCGTATATTTTCTAGAAATTTTGGGATTTGAAATTGCTATTGTCTTTGGCTCTGACTGAACCAGTAAGCCGGTCACCCTGGATTCTAAGGCATTTGTGATAAATGTGTGGCTTAGGGAAATAGACTCTCTGTTTAGAAGGCTACATTTTCTGCAGAAAAAAAAAAACTGTAGCACTCCAGGCAGTTTTCATGCCATGATTTTAAACACATAACGTTGGTATAATTAAGTCATAGTTTTAAGGTGGAAAGAGGTAGGGAAGGAGACATTAAAACCAATGAAAACACTGCCGACCAAAAACTACTCGAGCTGTTAGATGTAGCAGATACAATAGATTAAAAAGCGGTCGTTTGCAACACTATGTCCATACCACAGACCAAGAAGGTTTGCCTTTCAGATCAACGAAGCCAAAAAAAAAAAAATAAATTGCCACCTACATTGCATTCTTACTTTTCAAACATGAGATGCTTTTAAAAACTGAAGTTGAATTGCGGACCGCAGTCCTTCCGTGGACGTTAATAAAAGTTCGACCAAACCTAAATTATGCTTTCCACGACCTTCTTAAAGTCGGATGAAAAAATACTAAAAACAAAAACAACAAAAAAACAACAAAAAAAAAAACCAACAAACCTCAGCCAATTATAGTAACTTTGGTGCCGTGGAGGAGGTTTGCAAATATATGATACATTTTGACAGCTGTTCTTTGCTGGAATCCTATCAAGACAATCACCGAAATATTTCGGAATGCTTGAAAACCAGAGAATGCTAAATTTGTAGCTCTGCTTCAGCCACTGGAGGACTCAGAGTTCAGAATGTTTTTGGTGAGAAATCAGCCACGTTTGAACCCAGACTTCCAGTGAGATCAATGCAAAATACTCTACTTTGTTTATTATTATTATTATATTTGAGACAGAGTCTCGTTCTGTTGCCTGGGCTAGAGTGCTATGGCTTCAGCCT